TCCCGCCCGCCAGCTTCTTCCTCCGCGCAGTGCAAAGAAAGCCGTCGGTGCTGTGCGTGTGTGGGCGTAAGGCGCCGACAGCCAAAAGTGGCGCCCGCCCCTCCCTGCAGAAAGTGGGCAAAGTAAAAAAAAAAAACCATTAAAAAAGCAAAAAAAAAGAAGAAATTAAAAAATGGAAAAAAAAGTGGGAAAAAAAGAAACTTTGCCCGGCGTTCCACCCAGCGGGGGAACCAGCCCATAACCGGGGCGAAAAGCAAGACGATCTGAAGCGGATCCGCAATTAAGTTAGAGGCTCACATGTTTTCCCTCTGCGCGGTGCAGCCCACAACGTCGCCGGTCAGAAAAGCGCGGAGAAGCCCCACAGCCCAAGCAGCAGAAGCAGCGGCAACAACGCCCCAGACAGATGCCCACGCACAGAGCCGTCGCCGCCACCAACCTCCTTTGGCGCTGCCTCCGAAACCCTCTTGGCATGTGGGGCGGAGGCGTTGCTCGGGCCTGGCGCCGGTGCATCGCGTGGTCCAGCATCTTCTCCTGCGGAACTGTCAGTCGTGCCGTGCATTAAGCCCGTCTGGTCAGTGCCGGGGGATGCAGTGGGCGGGGGCAGTTGTTCCACTTCCGTCGCCGCCCCGCTCTCTTTCCTCCTCATCAGTGCCTCAATCTCACTGCCGTTGAAGCAGCGATTGTACAGCAAGACGTTCGTCACCGTCACGTGGCTCTCCGCGTCTTTCTCGGTGTCTTCATCGTAACCCCCAAAGACGATGTCTGAGACCAGTTCAGATCGTATTCTCGGCCCAACCTTTCCAGGCACAGGCGGAGGCGGTGGCGGAGGCGGACGTAACGAATCAGATGGACGATTCGCCTCCAAACTCCCCACAAGCTGCCCGTCAACGTACGCCGAGCCGCCGCCTTCCTGCACCGTGAGCGCCACTCGGTATGCCGTCCCCACCTCCCAGGCAACCTCTGATGCATTCCCTTCTTCCCCGAGCCTCGTCTTCCAGTGTTGACGCTCGTCGTACCACAGCACGAGATGTTTCCCGGCTGGAAAACCATGCATGCTCACGCCCAGCAACGGAGTGGCGCACTCTGGAACCTTGTCAATGGTCACCGTCGCCACAAGCGTCAGCTCCTCACCCACATAACTGCGCACTGAATTGGGCCCTTGTCTGCCAACTGGCCACGCAATCCGTGCACCACGCCCTGCCAGCTGAAAGCCATTCTCAACCTTCGTCATCCCCGTAGACACCGTGGCGTTCACCCCAAAGTACTCGTCATTCCAGTGAGTGGTGTTGGCATTGTTAGACAAAAATCCAACCAGCCCGACCGTTGGCAGAGGACCGACACAGCCGGCACCTTCTGCGCCATCCTTCATTGCAGCGGTGGTAGTGGAGCCGCAAAGCTTTGAGACCCTGTCATCCACTTCCTTCCATTTACTCAATACGGTCTTGATGTGCCGCAGCTGCTCCGTGAGAGGCTTAAAAACAAGACTGCCTAGCCCTCCACGCTCACCTTCCTTCGAGTAAAGGGCAAACAACTCACCTTTTGCGTGCAACAGCGTGCTGAAGGATAATCCTGCATCATCAGCAGATATTGGCCCAATGTCCAAGGTCCGAGTCCCATCAGAGAGCCAGAGGTGAATTACGCTGCGAACATCGCCCGGTTTGTTGATGCCTCCTTGTATATTGCCAATGAACACCACTTGGGTGTACAGCAGAACAGTCTTTTCCTCAATGGTTGTGGTAACAAGGTCGAAGCGACCAGTTAACGACAGAAAAAACATTTGATTCGCTCAACAGATGCGAGAGTGGCCCGGTAGCCTCTGTCCACGTCTTCCCATTGTCAGCGGATTCGTACACCATGCGCCACCACGAAGAAGAGATTGCAGTGAGCATGAGGAGTTTCCCCTCCCACTCGAGAAGCCTGGCGAAAGCGCAGTCATTGGCGATCGCAGCTGGTTCAGGCAATTTCCAACTCTTGCCATCGTCGTCGGAGTAAATGACGGTGCAAGCGGTTATGTCTCTTTTTGTTCCTTCTTCTTTTCCCTCGTAGGCTCGTTTTGTTGCCACAAGAGGGAAAACAATCGCACTGCCCCCAACTGCAACCCCTCTGGACCCAGGAACAGCTTCCAGCCTCTCCCACGAATGCTGCTGCATCGTCGCTTCATGCTTGGACTTCGGCAAGCTGGTCTTCTTCCATGAGACTTGTTTCCCATCATTCTCTGCGGTCTTCTGAACCTCACCAACAATCAGCTCAAGACCCCCAGAAA